AGCAAAATCGTTCCGCATGTTGCGCCGTAAGCCGCTGTAAGCTTTTATTTGGGGCTCTCCACGTTGCCACCGTAAGCGCCGTAAGCGCTTGTCAAGAAAAACGAGCGCCGTAAGCTAAACCTTGGGTTTCGTAAGCTACCGTAAGCAAATTCCTTACCGTCAAAGAAACCGGATAAGGGTTTTGATCCCCGCTCAAAAGTCCTTCAAGAAGGAATCACACAGTCGTATGCTGTACTGTGCATCCTCTCACGAGGCCGTTGAAGCAAGCACATCGAATTTGATAGCCAGCTCTCAGTGTCAACCTGCCAGTAACACCACAGTTTTCGGAAAACAGCAGCAGAAACGGACATGTCACACAGGATTCTCTTGTGACGTGCCATCTCTTGCTTCACCTTCTCTCGCACCCGCCTTTGATGCACTGCTTGGTTCTTTAAGGTATTCACTTTGTGCCTGATTTTGTAGGGGGCCTCTTGAATTCATACAAGTTCTTTTAAACAAATTCCGAAATTTGGACGGCTGGCGGGGTGTTTGGACGGCTGGCGGGGTGAATTAGTATTCCGAACCCCTAAAACAATTGCTTATTGAGGATCCGGGCCTCTGCTCTAACCCCCACAACAAGTGACGGACCCTATGATCTTAATCCCGCAAAAGTGGTTCACATGGATCTGGTTGCTCTGGGTTTATGGATTTTCGGATTTTCGAATATCAGACCTTATAGGTAAAGGGGCTCCTCTGGAACTAAAATCTAAGGCCTCAAAAGCAAAGCTGACTTGGGTAATAAATTTTGAATTTTTTGCATTTTGACACCAAAGAAACATATTATTCCGAATCCGCCCAAACAAGAGCAGATTCTGAGTAATTTCCCTAAAACATACGTTATTCCGAGCCCCTAAGCAAAAGCGAGTACCACATTACAGGAGATATTCATTGAAAGGACAAGCTTACCCAAAGCAAGTCCAAACGTGGCCCTTTCTGTGCCAGGTGCCGTGATGCCGCCGCAAGCCGGTTGCAACAAACAAGACTATGCTGTCCTTTTCGTTCTTGCCGTTGCGGCGTAGGACAGACAACAGACAACAGATCGCAGAGTTTGCTAAACATTTGAACCGGACATGAGCAAGTTGGTTGTTGTGTACAGTCATTTCTGTTTGCACTAAGCAATTTTCAGTGCCAGCCGTAGAGTTTGGCAAGAGCGCGGGGAAAAAACCTTTTGCGATTGTCCGGCATGCGCCGCAGACCCACAGAAGATTCGAGTTGCTGAATCGGTCAGGCTCCTTTCGAGGATCTAGACTTTCCTGCCGAGTCGCCAGCGGCACAGTCATTGTCGGTTGTGCCAGACGTTGTCATGTGCTCGAATCCATGATTTCATGGCGTAGGAAATCCATCTGTGGTCGTGAAGAGGCCTATGATGGGACAGTTCCGTGGAGCAGGCAGCACTTGACCTGGTTGTTGCAGGAGTCAGCGCAATCGCCGCATGAACCTCCTCGATGCCGTTGCGGTCAGACTTCCAAAAAGTCAGAGGCAGACGGGCACCTCCGTGCTAAAGATGGCAGCGCTGACGACTTGTTTTTTGGTGCTGTGGCTGAGCAGGTGCGCAAAGATGGGCCAACAAAGGCTTCTGTTTGTTGAGCTTCTCGTGTTGAAGCGCCTGCGCTGCCCGTTGACATCCATTGACCAGGGACGGCCGTATTGGCACTGCGAGGCAGCTCTTGCAGAGTTGCATGCATGAACGGCCTGCAGTGTCAGTCTGAGCCAACCTTTGAAGCCCTGATCGGAAGCTGCTACCCAGAAACGTCGTTGCGGCTTCTTTGCTTGGGCCGACTCCGAAAATCGGCGCAGTGGCCTTTGCACATGATCACAGTCAGTAAGGACAGAAACAGTTTGCAATTCAGACCTCAGAAGTCGCTGCAGGTCGCGAAAAGATATGGTGGCAACGCTTTCCGGAGTTCATGGTCGTTAGTGACTTCGGTTTCCGAGCGGAGGCTTTCGCCAAGTGAAATCTTGGCAGGGCTGCTCGGACACCTGATGCCCCGTGACACAGGACTTGCGGCAGGGTGGCGTTGGCGACTGCTGGTTCATGTCCGTCCGCGCCTCGAAGCAAGCTGCTTCCGCCAGGAAGTCCAAACCCCCTCCCCTTTCTAGTTTGAACTTCCACATATTCCGGTCTTCGGGCCCTGTTGAATTGATGTTTGGCAGGGAAAGAGGGATGGGTGCTCCTAGTAGTCACCAGGGAGAGAATAATCCCCTTCTTGAAGGCACTGGCCGTTGTGGCTGAGCGGCCGGACCTGATCCTTCGGCTTTTTGGGGGCGAGACTGCCAGGACCAGAGCTGAACATTGAAGATCTGCAGCTGTACCTTCTATATGTTTACATTACAAATGTGGATAGGTGGAGAGGATGCATTGGGGAGAGTTTAAGCTTGCCATGCTTGAGACCGACCACTGAAACCAGCTACTGCAGCAGCACCTAGCAGATCCGCAGCAAACATTGAACAGGTCGCAATCCGAGAGAGGCCGTGGCTTGAAATTTCCTGCCTCCTAGACATGCTGCGGCCAAAGCTAAGAACACAGTTTTCATTGCCCCCAGAAGCCCATGCTTCTCCCGGCAGAGAAGCGTAGCAACTCACCGCTCGTCCCGTACTAACCATATCTACATCACCTCATTGTGGACACCGTGCCGCTACAACAGCGACATCGTCGATGATGTGGTACGCCTTGCATGTTTGGAAGTCACCACAGCAGACAGTTTGTTTGCCAATCAGAAAAGAAACACAGCACGTCTTCTTCAGAGGTTTGCGAAAGCTTGCCGAAAGCCTTATCGCTTCAGCCATTTTGGTTGTCTGCATGGAGAATGCAGCGAGAGGCACAGAGTTCTAATGATCCCTCTGCGACTTCCGCAGAGAGCTCTGATGAGGCCTCTGAGACTTCCACGTTTTTAAGCCGGTCCGATTCTTTCTCTTCGCTGCCCGGGTGGCAACGATGTACGCCTGGATGGTATTTTGTGGTTTTTGTCACGCACGCCGCAGCTACAGCTTTGCTTTTTCCCAGGGATGACGTTGATGCATACGAGTATGAATGCCACCAAGGCCATGTTTGCACTTGTTGTCGTCAGAATTTCAAATGGCAGGACTCCTGGCTGTACTGCGTTGATGGCCCTATGGCTCATGTTGATGAGAGTCGCTGTCACATGGACACATGCTCTCTTCCTGAAAAGATGTCGTTCTTCGTGCTGCTGCTGGCAAGCTTGGGAGCCGGTTTCATGGCAGCCTTTCTTATGAAAAGGGCTGGAAACTCAAGTCACGTCAGGTCGGCTTGTGGATGTGCAACTGTCAACTGGTTTCAATCCATGCTGGGCTCAACGAGCTTCTTGAACAATGAGGACTGCCTGTATGGCTTACTGTCAAAAATGTTATCCAGGAGCAATGTGTATGCAAATGTAATCTTCGTGAAGATGATGTTGTATTTGATAGGTTTATTTTGGATGCAGCTCCTCATAGCTGAGCGGCTCGACCTTCTGGAACGAACTTCACATCAGAATTACTGCGCCTGGTGCTTTCGCAAGCTTCTTCAGGTGCAATTTGTTGCTGTCGTCCTGGCTGCACCTTTAGTTGTCCTCGTTGGCAGCTTCGATGAGTACGCTATTTATCAAGCCGCAGCGTATGAATTCTTGGTGTTTCCTTGGTTGTGCAACGTGTTGGCCAGCATGGTGGCAAGTTGGTCCCTCACTCAGTCCTTTCTCCAGTTGAGAGGGATGGTGTGTTTTTCGGAGCTGGAGGAGCCGATTGCTGGGAGGGCCAGGATTTTTGCAAAACTACAAGTGATCGGCGTATCCATGAGTCTGGTGCTAACACTTTTTGCACTTCCAGCCACCGCATGGGGCTTCATCAGGTCAGAACGACGGTTGGAATGGCACCATGCGCTAAAAGTGGAAGCGGCCAAGCCATTCCGTGTCCTTGAATGGCTGGCAGTTTTTGTTGAGGCATTGGACACCCTGGGGACGGGCTGCTGTGATACTGCTGTCTGGAAGCTGTCTGTTGCCTGAGGTACACGCCCAAGCTTGTGTGGACACCCAAGCCTTCCAAATTGATCCCGAAATGCCCTGCTCTTTGTGCACGCAGCCCCCCGAAACAGTTCTGCCAAATGACACTGCATGGAGTCCGGAGTGGCAAGAAAAAGTTGAACAGCTCTCACTGCGGGGGATGACTTTGCGAAGCCTGTTGCAGTTTTATCAGAAGGACCTGCCGTGCATGCGAGGCTGGAGATATGCGCGCAAGGAACACAAGACCAGAGACGTGGTCCGCAGGGTGGTCATACCTCTCACCAGCAAGGATGAATGTGCATATGCAGTTTCCGCGTTAAATAGGGATGGTTGTCAAAGGGCCTCTGTCATGGTGACTCACAATTGGGCGAACTTGTTTAAAGATCTGCTTGCAGCCGTCATCTCCGATGCATTGCAAGAATGCAGCTTCAACTTGGCAGCGCAGTTGCTGGAGGACGAAGATGACTGCAACTTTATTTGTGAGATCCTGAGTCAGAGCGGTCGTCTGGATGACACGTACTGGATATGTGCGTTTGCAGTGAACCAGCATATGTGCATATGTCACAACAATCTTTATGACCGTGATCCCTTCACAAATCAGCTGCATCCGGTGTGTACTTGCAGCAGCGTGAACATTGTTGACCCAGATGGCAGAAGTACCGTGTCAGAGATCAACAAATTCGATGACATGATGTATCATCTGGCAGCAACAGGAGGTTGCAGGCAAGTAATTGCGGTAGACCAGTCTCTTGACTTGTTCACTCGCGCTTGGTGTGTCGCGGAAATTGCAGAAGCCAAGCGTTTGCAAATGACGCAGGCGCTAAAACTTGCATCCAGAGCGACCATCATGCGGCATGCAGGTGCGTTGGAGAACTTGGATGTCCGGAACATGCATGCATCCTCTGAAGCAGACAAAGAACTCATACTCAGCAAGATACAAAGCAGCACGGACATCGACCAGTTCAACGCGGAGCTGCAATCGCTCATTTTGGACCCGAAGTCTGGCCTTCTGGCATCCTGGAATGCCATGGATAGTTTGCAGCAAATTGGAGAAGTCGGCCGGCTAATTCGATGGGGGCTCGCTGATGCTGGCACTGGGAAGGTATGGAAAGTGTGGGAAACCCATGACTGATCCTCTCAGATCATTGCCTCTTCGCCCATTCCATCAAAAAAGCCATGCTGTGCTCATCAATCATTGCCGCAACTCCTGAATTCCCAACCCCAAAGCTTTACACCCTCGACAAGCCACACAACACCACGCCAGGTCAGCCAGAACACCAACGACATTGGCTTTGGCAAATGATCCTGCCACGCGGGGTGTTCAGGGGTTTTGGGTTCTAGCAGTACAGTCATGCTTAGGAAACCATATCGGCTTCCAAATACATAGCAAACCAAGCAACAGAATCTAGAGTGCAGCATGGCGAGTCGGCAAATTGAATTGTGAGGTTTTCGATCTAGTAAGTCCCGCGACGAAATAATCAATCTACTGCTTTTCTCCAACGCATACCAAACAGCATAACCACATACAATGCCAGCCAAACAAAGAAGATCGAGATGCAACAACATTGTGGACGATCTTCACATACCGTCAGCTAGCTTGGGGACTT